GTCCCCGGTGCTACTGGCTGCATACAGCTGCGTCTCTTGTTGCTGCTGCTGCTGCTGCTGCTGTTGCTGCTGCTGCTGCTGCTGCAGGGCTTCAAGGGACTGCCGCAGGGCCTCCGCCTCCACCGTTGCTGCCCGAAGTTTTGTATGAGTCTGCTGCAGCTCAGCCTGCAGCAAAAGAACCTGCAGCAGCAGCAACAGCAGCAGCAGCACCTGTTTAAAGAAACCCATATCTACACACCTGCTGAAGTGAAGCAGCACAGCAGCAGCAAGAGCAGCAGCAGCAACAGCAAACGAAACAGCGCCTGCAGCTGCAGAAGCGATGCTGACCTCCTGATTTTCATGACGAGAAGAATGCTGCTGCTGCTGCTGCTGCGGCAGCGGTTCGCGCTGCTGCTGTTGCTGTTGCTCAAGCTGCTGCAGCAGCTGCTGCTGCTGCTGCTCTAAGGAGACCACACGCTGCTGCAGCAGCAGCCGCTCTCTATACAAAATCCGCAGCCGCTGCATTCTTCTTTGCGTAATCCCTCGTGATGCTGCGGGGTGTCTACGCAGCTCCCCACGTTGCCGCTGGCCTTCACTGCAGCAGCAGCAGCAGCAAGAGCAGCAGCAGCAGCAGCAGCAGCAACAGCAGCAACAGCAGCAGCAGCAGTAACAGCAACGCAACAAATGAACACATGCCGCATCGCTCCTCCTGCGCCTTGCTGCGGCTGGGCCTGCAACTATTGCTGCTAAACATGCTGCTGCTGCTGTTGCTCCTGCTGCTGCTGCTGCTGCTGCTGTTGCTGCTGCTTACCTACTAGCTGAAGCACCAGAACCACTCGAAATAGGAAGGGAGTCCTGCAGCAAGCTGCTTGGGTTGCTGCCGCTGCTGCTGCTGCCCGAGAGCGACAGCAGCAGCAGGCGCTGCTGTGCAGCAGTGCGCGTTGCTGCTCCTTTCCTTGCTGCTTGAGCGCGAGCTGCTGCACTTGCTGCTGCTTCTTCAACCCACTGCAGCAGCTGCTGCTGCAGCTGTTGCAGCGACGCGTCGCTGCTGCAGCGACGCAGCAGCTCCTCTCGTTTGCTGCATACACACAACCGCCAACGGAGACTACCTGCTGCTGCTGCTGCTGCTGCTGAGGGGGCTGAGGCTGCTGCAGCAGCAGAAGCAGCACGAGCAAACAGCAGCAAGACCAGCACCAGTAAACGCAGCGGCAACAGCAGCAGAACAGCAGCAGCAGCACCGGCCTGACCTGCTGAGGGCCCCTCGCAGCAGCACTGCCTCCTGAGCCTTGTGCAGCAGCTGCTGCTCTTCTGCTGCAGCACGCTGGTGCGATTGCTGCAGCTCTGCTGCTAAGCGGCGAATCTTTCGGGAGGCGCGTCTCCTGAATTGCTGCAGCGGCTGCATTGCTGCTGCTGTCTGCTGCGCCTGCTGCTGTAGCAGCAGCAGCTCTTGCTGCTGCTTTTCATAACTTTCTCTGGCGACCTTGAGCTGCTGCTGCAGCTCCCTGTTCGCCTTTACTGCATCTGTTGCTGCTGCTGACTGCTGCTCGTCTAAAGGCAACGAACAGCTGCTGCTGCTGCTGCTGCTGCTGACAGCAGACCGCTGCTGCGAGTCGCTGCCGATTTGCTGCAGCGAAGTGGCAGCCCTGCAAGTTTTAGGCAGCAGCACACACCCCACAATTGCCTCAGCAGCATCAGCAGCACGAACAGCAGCAGCAACAGCAGCAGCAGCAGCAGCAACAGCAGCAGCAGCAGCAGCAACAGCAGCA